CCTTGGCCACTCTTGTAGGTTTAGGTCGCAGATTATATGTCTGAGTCTTTATTCTTCATATGTAATTTAAAAGCAAGATTTTCTTTGTAAAAACTTCAATTGAATTTCAATAAAGTTAAAGGCATAGTTTCACCATTAATATTTTTTTTAAAAAAAAAAATTTATTTACTCAAAATTTGTAATTTGTTTTTTTCTTACTTTGTATTACTTTTTCAATAACAATCTAGAGCATAAAATATCCTATTTGATTTACTGGCCATTTACTATGCTTAGTAATGGAACTACTAAGTTGTTAGTTAATAACTAAATAATTATTAATTAATTAATAATAGTTAATAATAGTTAATAATTTTAGTAATTGTTAAAAATTATTATGCAGACATTTTAATAACTGTATATATATGTAATTGTTTAGGTTAAAATCCCAACAAATCATCCATCAAACAATCCTAACAATTGAATTTCTGACTAGACTTTAGTTAATACTAACCTAATATGAACCTATCAGAATTTCAGCTTTTTTTGAGATTTTGACTGGCTTCTGCTTTAATTATTTACAAACAAACAATAAATGTTAACAATATAACACTCAAGTCAAAAAAATCTTGCATTCATTTTAATTGTTTATAAAAAAATAATAAATATTAGCAATATAACATTCAGGTTTTTAAAAAAGTCTTGTATCACTAGTATTCAATACCATTTTAATGTAAATTAGAAAGAAAAACAAAACCAATTTGGCAATAATTTAGTAAAGGTAAAAAATTAAACAGCTCATACTATTTAGTGCAATGTAATTTTTGTAAACAAAACTGTCTCAGAGAATCTTTAAAAATAGTTAAACTTTTATTAGTAATATGTGAAGAAATTCATTAAGACAAACATGATAATATTGAAAATATTTTAAAAAACACCAATACTAAAAAAACTAAAAACTTACAAAAAAACAATCAAGTTGATAATGATAATGATCTATTATCTCAAGTTGATAATGATTTATTACTTCAAGTTAATAATTATAATGATAACTGTAATGATTTATCAAAGGTTAAAAATACTTCAGTTTTGTTCATTAGAAAAAAAGCATCTATTAATTGTCGATTACTTAAAGCATTAATTTCAGCCAATGTGCTATTATTATTTATAGAAGACCCCATAGTAATTAATCTATTTTATATGCTAAAATCTGAGTATAAACTTCTATCACACAAATGGCTAAGTACAGATATTTTAGATAAAATACACAAAAATGTTCAATGTAGCATTCAACATTTTATATCAGATTCTATGTTTTTAACATTATCTGATAATAGATGGACCAATGTGTCAAAAAATAGCATATTAAATTTTATTATAACAAATGAAAAGTACAAGAGTCAAATTTTAAAAATAGATAATTACTCTAATCAGTATTATATAAGTAATAATATATTTGCTATATATAAGGAAATTGGAATAAGTCTTGGATTAAATAAATAGATAGCTTTTATTTCGAATAGTGAACTCAATTTTAAAAAAGCACAATGTCTTATATATAAGGTATATATTTTAATTATCTAAACTAATATCCAGATATACAGTATCAAACAACTTTTTTATTTTTTTAAGATATCGAAGCAATCAAAGTAACATGTCTATAAATGTTTTATATATTATATATATTAATATTCTTCTATATAATATTATATTTAGGATTATGATATTGGCAGTAGAGTTTTAATAATTTCATATATAGCACACCAAACTAACTTATTAGTTAAAAAAATAGTTGATTTGATATTTTTTATACCAGTTATTAAAAATATGCTAGTAATTATTAATTATTTTCAAAATTCCAATCTTGCATTGTCCAAATTAAGAGAATTAACTGGTAATGTGACATTAAAACCTCAATATCTATGCATTACCTGTTGGACAATATATACAAAATTAGCCAAAATAATTTTAGAGATTAAAACAAATTTAAAACTATATATATATATTAAATAATAAATGTATAATTAATATATATATATAGATATTATATATATATATATATATTTAATCTATATTTATTTTTAGGTTATTGCTCTTATACATACATCTTATTTAATATCACATTCACAAAGAAGTGATATTATAATTAATATTATTAATACTAATGAATTTTGGTTAAAACTTGAATTGTTTTATAAGTTGTTAAAACTATATGACTATGTTATAAAAATTCTTGAAACAGAAAAGACAACATTAGGTCAAGTAGCTGCATTATAGGCATTGATAAGAGCTTATTTACTAATAATGATTTTAAAGATTCTTTAATAATAGAAATTGATAATCATTAGCAAAAAATCTATAATTCTGTTTTTTTAATTATCTGGTTTCTTCATTCATATCATCATAGTAAAGAATTAAATTTGACATAGCTTTTATATATTCAAGAAGCTGCATATAGTCTTTTTTGCACTTTTTATCCTGATCGTAATCAAGACCAATTTATTGATGAATGGTTAAATTATACAAATCAAGAGGGCCTATTTTTTGTATCATCTATTAAAAATCCAAGTTTTACAAAATTTTTACTAAGATACTGGCATACTATGCTAAGTGCAACCCCAAATTTAAGTGAATTTGCATGTTGCCTTTTATTAATTCTACCTAATTCTGCAACTTCTGAACAGGTATGATCATTATTAGATAATATTAAGCATAACAAAAATTTTTTATATACATATTATATAATTAAAACAGAATTAAATTATTTTCTATTTTAAATTAATAACAAATAGGTTGTTTTACCATCTCTAAGTAATATATATACAGAATGTCATAACAAGCTATTACCAATATGGGTTGCAAAAATTGCATAGGTCTTCTGATATATAAAACAAAATGAAAAAAATCTCAACCCTATTGAAAAAAAAATAAATAAAACAGAAAGTCATATTTCAGATGATGACTATAATGACTGTAATGATAATATAGATAAATTTATAGTAAATTTAAATCAAATATCTGAAAATTTAATAAATGATATTCATGTACTTGATATAAATAGTAGGGAAACCATTCTGGTATTTATAAATATATTTGATTTTAATGTCATTGAAAAATTATTAAATTTTTATATTAATCAATCATATGTATAA